AGGGTACTAGAGGTTTGCAACTGGATGTCTCCTTGATCCAGGAGAGTCGCCTGGTACTTAGCCATTTGTCCAGGGGAAAGCCAGGTTCCCCACTTTGCATTCATCACCGTCAGCACTGAATGTGGGGTATACACAGTCATTGGTTGTCCTAAAGTAAGTTTTTTAGATTCCTTTACCAGCATAGCGGTAGCTGCCACTGCTCGCAGGCAGGACAGCCATCCCAAACTAGTGGGATCTAATTGTTTGGAGAAGTAGGCCACTGTTCTTTTCCAGCTATCTAAGTACTGGGTCAGCACTCCTGATGCTACTCCTTGGCGTTTATGTATATAAAGTTGAAATGTTTTACTCAGATTGGGTAGGCCCAGGGCCGGCACTGTCATAAGGGCCTGTTTGATAGTGTCAAAGCTCTTTCGGCATTTTGCTGTCCATTATAAATCTCCCTCACTACCAGTAGTGGCCTCATAAAAAGCCTTGGCTATTAGTCCAAAATTGGGGATTCAGATCTGGCAGAATCCTGCCATACGTAAAAAGCCTCACAACTGTCTCTTGGTCTTTGGGACTGCCATCCGACAGATGGCCTCTTTTCTTTTAGGGCCCAACATCCTCTGGCCTTGTGAGATGTCAAATCCCAAATATCGTACCCTTTTTTTTGTTATCTGGGCTTTTTTTTGAGATACTCTGTATCCAACCTGTCCCAGGAAGTTTAGTAAACTTATGGTCAGCAGGTGGCACTCTTCTCTCGTTTTTGCTACAATTAACAAATCGTCCACATACTGTAACAGGGTTCCTGACGTCCCTTTGTCCCACTTCTGAAGGTCGGTACTTAAGGCAGTGTTGAAAATAGTGGGACTGTTTTTAAAACCCTGAGGCAAAACTGTCCAGCACAATTGGGTTTTTCTCCTAGTATTTGGGTCTTTTTACTCGAATGCAAAAATCTCTTGGCTGTCTCTTTTAAGTGGGATGCAAAAGAAGGCATCTTTCAGGTCCAGGACTGTAAACCACTGTTCCTCTGCAGACAAAGTAGTCAGCAAAGTATAAGGGTCCTTTATCACCGGATGAAGGGTCACCGTGACCTTTTTTACGGCTCTGAGGTCCTGCCCAAAACGATACTTATTACTGTGGGGTTTTTTTATAGGCAAAATGGGGGAATTGAAAGATGATTGACACTCCCAAAGTAAACCATATTTAAGGAATCTCTTTATTAATGGTTCCAGGCCTTTCCAAGCTTTTATTTTTAATCGATACTGTGGCACCCTGGGCGGAGTAATTTCTGGCTTTAAATCAATGTTTACAGGGGTGGCCAGTTTGGCTCTTTCTGGCTTTTCTCCTGCCCATACCCATGGTACTACAGTGTCTTCTACTTCTGGGGGAATTTTTCCTTCCTCCTCCTCCTGCAATAGGAGACACACCTGAGCCTTCTAGGCTTCCTCAGTTGGTATCTTTATAGTTATTTTTTCCTCTGAAAAGATCAATTGGGCCTGCAATTTGCATAGCAAATTCCTCCCAAACAAAGGTATGGGGCACTCAGGCATATACAGGAACTGATGAGACAGTTTTTTTTTTTCTCAATTTGCATTCCATGGGTGGCACAAAAGGACGATATGTCCGCTGGCCGGTGGCTCTAATTATGGGGATCTTGGTTTTTGATAAGGGTTCTTTAAAATTGGTTACAACTGAATGTGTGGCTCCACTATCTACTAGAAAGTCAATAAGTTCTCCCCCTACTTGCATTTTAACCAGTGGCTCATCGGGGGAGACAGAGATTACTTTAGTGTTAGCTCCCGGTCCCCGTCACTCCTGGTCAGAACCATCCAACATCAACAATCTTTTTTTTTCCTCTCATCTCTTTTTTTCCCTCTTGGGGCACTCATTTTTTCAATGCCCTTCCTGCTTGCAAATAGCACACTGATTAGGTCCCAGCCTGCGACCCTGGCCATAGCCTCCCGGAGCATAGCTCACGCCTCCTCTACTTCCCCTGCCTCCTCCCCGACTCCTCTGATCTACAATTGCCGCTGCCAACAACGATGCTTGTAACGACGCCTGTGCCTTTATTTTCTTATCTTTTTTTTTTTTCCTTATCCTGATCTCTGTTGGAGTATATTTTATAAGCAATCTCAATCATTTGGCTGATGCTCATTCCAGCTGCTCCTTCAG